GGGGGGAAGGAGCACGTGAAAAATGGTGGACTGCTGTAATAAGCAGCGCTCTGCTCTCCCTGTGACTTTAAAGCCTCTGGCATATTAATTTTAGTTAATAAAAGAGACAAAAAAACTATGAAGTATATATGAATTTAGCCTATTTTTTTTTTTTTTTTATTTCTGTGTGTTCATAGTAAACATTTTTGTAAGTGACAAACACGGGCATATGACCACAGTATCACAATCAAGAAATTTTAAGACGACATTAACAATCACTCAAATTTATGCGGCATTTGCGCAACACAGGTTACATATTTGCAAGGTTTACCTATAAGTACAATAGGTATTAACATTTCACTACATTTAGAAAAAAAATAAAGGTGACCTGTTAGTGACCACATACATCAAAATATACACAACACAAACTGAAGGCAATCATTAATTTTGTCCCCTTCTGGTTCATTTGAACGGGCAGTGCTGCAAACTGAAATAATGTTGCTGTTCTTTAAATTACTCCGTACACTGAGTGCATTTTCTAAAACCCAATCTTTGGTCTAAAAGTAAACAAACAAACAAACAGCCCCCCCCCCCCAAAAAAAAAAGAACCCCCAAAAAAAGCAGTTCAGTAAAGAAAAGGATAAAATAATAAATGGCCAAAATGTAGTTCTTGGGCATCTTTCAGTATTAATTCTGCTTAAATACAAATTACGTTTTAAGTTTTTTATAGTTTTCATAAATTTAGCGGTGATTTTTTTTTTCTTTCTTTCAAGGTCTGCACACACCGACATATCCATGATAACTTATAATACTGCAAACATGGAGAATCTGGCGGCTTTTAGTGATAGACTTATCGTATTTGAATAAAAAATTTCAAAAGCAGTCACTATTTAGATACACATTCTACTATAATTTTGTCTTCCAAACTTCAGTCTACAATGTAATCTCCCCACATTGCACCTTGCTGACACTCCTCACCTTGGTGGAATAATAAACAACCCTAAAGACTGAACAAACGTACAGAAAATGGGGGACTTAATAAAAAATACCTGGACTTTTTTGTTTTGCTTTTTTTTTTTCCTTTTAATTATCATTTACAATGCAAATGTGTGTAAAATGTTCACTTACAGTCTGATCCCATGGATGTTAATGTATTAAAGGGTTTGAAGAAGACCCCTGATTTTGATGTGTGAAATAATCAGAAAGTCCTCCGGAAAGTCCCGTTGTAAAACTTGGCAAAGAAGGTCTTAAGGACTCACAGGGGAGAGTGGAGGGCGCCTGTGGCGACGTTGAGGAGGAGGCTGCCCTGGCCGTCATTGAAGTGCTGCTTTGAGAAGTCATTGAAGGGTGAGGAACATGGGGGAAAAAGTAACTCGTCTGTCCTGCTAGGAGGTTTACAGAGCAGGGGTTTAGGGAATAGGTGCCGGAGCAGGGAACTGACAAGCCACACGGCACTGAGGCGGCCAGAGCTGCTGCTGTGAGGTGATGAGTGGCATAAGGTATCTCTCCATTGACTAGTCTATCAACACTTAACCCATTAGACGTGGAAAAGGAGTGGTTGTTTCCCAAGGAGTTTTGAGTCAACACTGAGCTGTAGGGCATGGGGTGGCTGGGGTAGGCGGACGTGGTCCCATTGTAACTCAAAGTGCTGCTGGCCCGCGGGTGGTGCAGGGAGAGGAAGGGGGACATAGGCCAGTACAAGGATCCTGCCCTATCCATGAATGTCAGTCCGGTGGAGGTGAGGCGGGCGCCCCGCTTGAAGGCCAGCTTGGCCCGGGAAGTGGTGGAGCGCCGGCGGAGCTTGCCGGTGGTGCCCCCGATGAAGACGTCGTCGCTGGAGGGGTCCAGCATCCAGTAGTTCCCTTTGCCCGGGTCGTCGTAGTGGCGGGGCACCTTGACGAAGCACTTATTGAGGGAGAGGTTGTGGCGAATGGAGTTCTGCCAGCCCTGCTTGTTCTCCCGGTAGTAGGGGAAGTTCTTCATGATGAACTCGTAGATGCCGTTGAGCGTGAGGCGCTTCTCGGGGCTCTGCCGGATGGCCATCATGATGAGCGCGTTGTAGCTGAACGGCGGCTTCTCGTACTTGCCATTCTTCTTCTCCCCCTCCTTCCCGCTCTCTCCGTCCTTGGCCCCCTCTGCCGCCCCCTTCTTCTCCT